TCAGTTGCACACCCCTAAAACTGGATCCAGCCCAGATAAAAGAAAGCAAGCATCCAGTGTGGTGTAGAGGTTAAGAGCATGGGACTGGGGCTCAGGCGATCCGGGTTCTAGTCCCCGCTCAGCCATGGAGCCAACTGGGTGACTTTGGGCCAGTCACAGGCCCTCAGCCCAACCTACCTCACAGGGTTGTTGTTGTGGGCATAAGATGGAGGAGGAGAATGATGTAAGCTGCCTTGAGCCCTTTGTAGGAAAAAGGCAGGATATAAATCGAAAAATAAATAAATAAATAAATAAATCCCTGTGTGGACTGGATTTAATGGAGCAGAATGTAACAAAGCCGCCAAGCGAAAAGGCAATGTCCCTAAGGGGTAATCATAGCTCATCTGTAATAATAATAATAATAATAATAATAATAATAATAATAATGTGCGGTACAAAATGACTTCATTTGGGAAAGCAGAATACTCAGGGAGAAAGCATGTTGTGCTATAATACAGGGAAGATACGAAGTTCTCATTTGTGAATGCTTGCCTGCAAATAGCGCAAGGGCGGCAGAGGTGAGACAGGCTTTTCTCTCCACCAGGTTTCAAAGTGAGGCACCGCAGAGGGTAGCAATCCTCCTCCTCCTCCATCTGCAACTTTTTTTAAAAACCCGAAGCCACCCAGGACAGCGCTGTGTGATTTCAGCATGCCTGAGGCAGGGCTTGGGTAAGAAATGGCAGCTGACGAAGGAGCGTCCCCCTTCCCCTCCATCCCTCTCTCTGAATGTGGTGAAATACATGTGTGAAGTGGTGCATTTTGACTTAGCCTTAGTTGTAACAAGATCTGCTCTCTGGCCCAGACATCCCTGACTCAGCACCCTCCAGCTGTAGTGCCAGGCTACAATGCCCATCAGCCCCAGCCAATGACCGTTCTTGATGTGGATGACTGAAGTTTAACACCACACGTCTGAATGAAAGCAGGGTAGGAAAGACTGTGGAAAGGAAGATGCATATTTGGCCAAGAATGGGGGATGTTTCCTTAATGGTTCCAATCCAAGCAGGAGATAATACTAATGAAATAGTCTTCCAAATCCCTCAAACCTTTCAAACTGTTTACTTAAATCCTGTGGGATAAAAAGCATTTGCTGCATATTTAGTTGAAGTAGGCAGTCTGTGGAGCATCTGTTAGGTGAGATGAGCAATGCTAGTAACAAAAATAATGACTCTAATAATTTCTTGCATCTGCTTATTTATTGAAATCCAGAACATGAGTGTTAGCTGATTTTTCTGTGTTTTATTATGGTGATCTAAGACGCTAATGTGCTGGGAAAGAAATTCTCTTTTCTGAGAAAAAATTGCTGTCCAAATAATGCTGCAAGAGCATGATTTGATGACCCCCACCCGCCCCCGCACCATCTCTTGACAATATTAATAAAAATCAGCAGATCTGTTTGTTCACAGGATGGAGAGCTTTTGTAGTTTAAAAACAAGGCCGTTTTCTAATCCTTATGATTTTCTTAAACTGCTTATCCACAATCGGCAGGCTTTTTGTCATGCTAGTAAATACATTTAAAGTTTGTCAATAAAAGCATTGGGCCAGATCCAGAATCTATTCTGCAAGGGGAAAGGATAAGAAAAGCAGCTCCACTGGTAGGAGGTATTTCCCCCTGATTTTGGAGGTTTCTCTTCCCACCCATCTCATCCCATTCAATAATGGGGACTGGGTGTTATTCTCATATAACCCCAGTCCTCTATCAGCTCCATTGGTTTCCCATCGAAGTCCGGGCTCAATTCAAGGTGCTGGTTATTACCTATAAAGCCCTAAATGGCTTAGGACCAGGATACCTAAAGGAACACCTTTTTCCCTATTTGTCCTCCCACCTCCTGAGATCGGCAACAGAAGCCCTCCTCTGGGAACCCTCTGTGAAAGATGTTAGGAGACAGAGTACCCGGAGAAGGGCCTTCTCTGCGGTGGCACCCCGACTGTGGAATGTGCTCCCCAAAAAGGTCTGCCTGGCGCCATCATTATATGCTTTTTAGTTAATCAATATTTTAATATGTTTTAATATTGAATTTTATTGTTATGTTTTATTAATTTGCAGCCAGTGTAGATGGTCAATTTATTTATGTTGTAAGCCGTCCAGAGACGCAAGTAATTGGATGGCATACACATTTAATAAATAAATAAATATCGCTTGACTCTGTAGTATTTTGGACGAGCTTTTGTGGGGACAGGGCAGGGGAGTCCTCGCCAGCACAGTTGATCCAACTGGAAACCTAATCCAACCCATACAACCTAAAGAGAAACTGGATGCAATTCCAGCTGTGCCCTGTCCATCACTCCTGCTAACAATGATTGCTACTTCCTCAAGATCTCACACAAAACCAAGGAAAGAAATGAGGGAGGAAAACCTGGATTTCTATTGAAAATAGCCAGACTCCCTGCAAGTAAGGAAAGTAGCCAGCAACTAGTATGCGTATGCTTCTAGACAGCATTTCAGTCCCCCAGGACTAGATCCTGGCCCTTGTCTCACCCGAGTCAGTAAATACTGCAAATAGGAAAGCTGCTTTTCATTAGCGTCTGACATTCTTTTATGTAGTCTGATTGTCAACACAAAAGGAGAATAATTAATCTGCAGCTCCAACCCAGGCTAACAGATGGGTCTCTTCCTTGAAGCTTTTACCACATAACTAATTTGTTACTTCAAGAAATCAGCATCTAATCTATTCACTTCAAAGAGTACCCATGTGCCTCTCTCTTTTCAAGCTCCAAGGCCTCTTGGGGGATGGAACAATCCCTTTGGGAACAAAGAAATAGGGAAAAGGCAGGAATTGGGACTGAACCAAAACATTTAGGCCTTTCATTTGAATGGGGAAGTATTATTGGCTAAATTTAACCATCAAGAAAAAGCACATAGCAAGTACAGAGCTATACTGGAAGGAGGCAGAGGTAAATTGGGAAAAGTTGTCAACACGCTGAATAACCGTTGTGACTCAGAGCGATACAGCCTGAACATCCACACCTGTGCCGGAGGCCCTCTGTCTTAAGCACCCTGGGTTTAAAAAAAATAAAAAATCAGAGGTCTGGGATAAAACCATGTAAACAAAGACTGTCGCTAGGACTTGGACATAGAGGATATTGCAGTTGATAAAACTGTTTCATGCTCTTCGTGCGAGTCCAGAAAAGTGCCACTTAAAATATTGACTCACTTCAGATGTCCATTGAAGAGCAGGCCTTTTCCCATACTTCACACAATAGTGTCTGTGTCAGAACAGATAATGTGTGGAGCACATGCATAGAAACTCTCCCCCATCGCTGGATGCCCTTGAACACCTTGAGATTGCTTCTATTTCTATGAGAAAATTGGCCTAAAATGTCTCAGAAGGGGCAGGCACTTATCTTTTCGTCAATCTCCACTCTTTGCTGTTTCTGCAAAGAACTAGGATGGTGCAAGGAGCTTGGCCTAGGGCAATGTGATTTTAAAGTAGGACACTCAAAGTCCAGCACCCAAGGCTGGCCAAAATATTTTGGCACCTGAAGCAGAAAATACCAGAGTGGGCCCTTCTCTTGGACAGTAAAAATACAGTAATTATAAAAAAGTAACACTTAGCTTTCAAAGCACTTGCATAGTATGTCCCAAAACAGCCACCTCACTCTGCCTCGTGACAGGGCCAGGCACCCGGCCACCCTACCCCCTGCTTTCAAACCTTCCTTCACCTTGCAAAGCAATTGCCATGAGTGTGGCTTGTTTGATCCCAGCCCTGCATGCAGGGCAAGTTGCAGCTCAGGGCAGGGACAGCAGGCCTTGCTGTTCTTTGGGTGCTGGGCGTTGTTCTTCCCACGCCTCTGGAGGCACAGCTGCGTGGACAGCTCAGGCACAAGGCAAAGCAGGGAAATCTTAATCAGCTCTCCCGATCTTGCACTCGTTTACTGGCAATTGCAATGGAGAGGTGGCCTCTTGCGCCACCTCGTGGATAAAAGAGACTCTGCACGAACTATACTCTGCACGAACGGGTATATTTTTTCCATGAATGACTCTGAAGAGCTCACCGCAGCCTCGCTCCTCCTCCTCCCTCTCCTCTCCTCTCTAGGCGCCTGGATTCATTTGAGAGCAAACTTGTGGAGCAGCCAGATGTGACCCAGGCGCCCCCCCCCCCATCAACCCAATCCCCCTCACCTGAAATTCTCTGAAATCACACCTGGAGGTTATCTTTTTAAAAGCATCTATAAGCCAAGGAGTTATATGTTTTGTTGTTTAAAGAAAGAAGTGAGTTAAAGGTAAGAAGGATTTCATTGCATCTGAGAAAGGCATGCAGGAAAAGCTTTGTGCATTCGTGTCTCTCTGTGGTTATGTTTTGTTTTAGCTATTTATCTGTATGCATTGCATTAAATCTATCATCTATTGCTCTTTATCTGTTTATATTCATTTTTATCTGTTTATTGTGGAGAAGCTGGAATCAGCACTGCAGCCCAAAAGGGACTCCGGCAGCCAATAAGCAATGCTCATTGTTGCTTTAAAGTAAACTGGAACAACCCATTGAAAAGACTGAAACTGAATGAGTGCCTTGTGAGAGAGCAAAGTGCTGGGGATGGCAGGGTGCTGAATGTGGTATTGATTCTGGTAAAACCCCTTCTTGCCTTGCTTTTCTTTCCCCCCTTTTTACCTCCTTTTTCTTCCCTTTTCTGCAATTCCTGCAGGAGCCAAGGAGCAACACACCAAGTAACTTGGAAGGGTTACCTACCAGCACTATGCCTGGTGAGGGGAAAGAGTTCTGCAGCTCCATGCGCAAAGCCGGGTGAAGGTCCTGAGCCCCAAGGGAGCAGACGGGATTGCCTCGAAAAGATGAGCAGGAGGCAAAAGAGCAGGTGGGGATCGAGGGGGGTTGCAGAAAAGGGGAAGGCGCTCTGAAAGGCCAGGTCCCAAGAAAGGGGAGGCTCTAAAGGGGCTGCGCTGCCCAGGAGGAGGCTCTCGTCTCATACCAAACTCGCAAAGGGCGCTGGATGGAAAGGAGCCTGCCATGGATTCTCTGTGCTTTCTGGGGAGTGACCTGTGGACTTACAACTGCTCCTTGAGCAACTCCACCATGAAGAACCAGACTTCTCAAGCCAATGGGACCTTCCTCGTGACTAGGGATGAAGACATTGCCAAGGTGGAGGTGGCAGTGCTCTGCCTCATCTTCTTCCTCGCCCTGACGGGGAACCTGTGTGTGCTGCTGGCCGTCCACACGACGCGTCACAAGCATTCCCGCATGTATTTCTTCATGAAGCACCTGAGCATCGCTGACCTGGTTGTGGCCATCTTCCAGGTCTTGCCTCAGCTCATCTGGGACATCACCTTCAGGTTCTATGGGCCAGATTACCTCTGCAGGTTGGTCAAATACTTGCAGGTGGTGGGCATGTTTGCTTCTACCTACATGCTCTTGCTCATGTCCCTGGATCGGTGCCTGGCCATCTGCCAGCCCTTGAGGTCTTTGCATAGGCGGTCTGACCGGCTGTCCGTCCTCCTCACCTGGATGGTGTGCCTTCTCTTCAGCATCCCACAGCTCCAGATATTTTCCATGAGGAATGTGGATCATGGGGGCATAGATTGCTGGGCAACATTCATCCAACCCTGGGGACCTAAAGCCTACATCACCTGGATAACCTTGACTGTCTACATCATCCCCGTGCTTGTGCTGAGCATCTGCTATGGCTTGATCAGCTTCAAAATCTGGCAGAACGTGAAGCTGAAAACAATCCATGACACCAGCCTGAACCTGACCTCGAGCAATTCCCATGGAGGCACGCTCTCCAGGGTCAGCAGCATCAAACTCATTTCCAAAGCCAAGATCCGGACAGTCAAAATGACCTTCATCATAGTCTTAGCTTTCATTATGTGCTGGACTCCTTTTTTCATTGTGCAGATGTGGATTGTGTGGGATGAAAATGCTCCAAAAGAAGGTACAGTTTGCTCTCTTACTTTCCTGTGTATGCCTATACAAACATCGTGCAGTAATTGTAGAGAGTTCCCACACAATAATTCCTTAGTATATGTTTCAGTTGAGCTCATTATTACACAACTGATCCACAGGGTAGCATTGATGAGATTTAGCATGTTTTCTAGCTATTGGTAATAAAGTATTATTAAGATGGAAAGAGTACTTGAGTGATATGGGGAAAAGATGAGATGCAACACTTTGAATACTTGGTCACTATTTAAGTGACCTTGGACAAATTGCTTGGTGTTGTACCTTTCCTTAACTGGCCTGACTGAAAATGAGGGATACTTATTAGAACCTTTGGAGATGGAAGAAGTAAGCAGGAAAATGGAAGGAAGGAACATAGAGGAAATGTCTAATATCTTATGAACTTGGCTAGGTAACTTCAGTAATGGGTTAATCCTGAAATGAGATCAAATGATAACGAGATGTTAGTGACTGATTTCTGAATGTTAAGACTTAACCTGGGGGCTGCAGGAATCTTATGAATGGGCATCCGAATTGTCATTGATAAGATCGATAGTAGGTCTTGAGCAAAGACAAAATTATGGCAACGAGTTCCCTTTGGCTTGTAAAAGCTTTTTCCCATTTCCTCACGATGGGTGGTATAAGTAATCTCCTAGTGATGGATCTAATGAATAAGGTGCCATTTGAGTGCTAGTGACACTTCCACTCCAGTTGTTACTTTGATGCAGTGAACCAAGTCCATGAAAGCTTACACCATAATAAATGTTAGTCATAAGACTTTCTGCTGTTAATTGTTCGTCCAAAGGGTGGATGTTCCAACTTGTCCCTCTGAAAAACTAGTGCCAGTGACTAATGGACACATTAATAAGGGCTTTGGCTGATATAACCCCAGTGGTATCTAGAGTGCTTCAGGAGGTAAGAGGAGTATGAAACATTCTCCTTTATCTACATGATTGAAGTCACCTTTCAAATCTCAGTGTGCTTCCCATCAGCAATCTCACACTCAGCAGCGTGGAAAGGTCTCTTAAATCCATACGTGAGCTACACGTGTGCCTATCATTTGATGACTGTAGCATGAAGTAGCGATTTGCATGTGTGAACAAGCTATTCAAGATCAAATATCATGGACAGAGCATTCATGTTGCCTCACATCATCTCAAGTGCATGAACATGCATGCACACTTACAAGGGAGGGACCACGTTGGTCAGGTGGTTGGAAACTGAACCACCTGAACCCATCAGGTTCTGCAGGGACTCCTGTGTCACTTAGGAATGATGGCTTCAGAGTTCCCTACAGCACAAAGTCTGTGATCCTCAGGTCATTCTCTGCAAAGCCCATGGAGAGAAATAACATCCACATGTAGAAATGACTGTCTAACATAACTGGAAAATATTTTTAACTAATGAAATCTGGCAAAGATGTTGGGAGCAAGGAAAGAACTGGACACCAGCCAGCTTGCCAACTCTGTACACTCTACTATAAACAACAAAGACGCTTGTAGTGCCTGAAGGACCAACACATTTATTATGACACAATAATTTCATGGACACTGCTAGGTGCAGTTATAAAAGTCACCTGCCAGGACTGCCTGAATCCCCAGCTACTAAAATTTAATCTTGGTATGTCATGCCATCAATGTTTTCCCATTCAATATTGCCTTTCTCCAGCTGGAAGGGAGAAGACGCTTTTGTTCTTTTTCTGTATTTAAACTAAAAGCCATTTCCTGCAGTGGCTGACATGATGGTCATGGATGTGGCCAACACAGGTTCCAATTCCTACTTAGCTGCTGCACAGCTCAATAATCTGGGACACCTCTCTTGAGGGATTTTCTTTCTGCCTAACCTGGCTTAGAGTTGGGCTGAAAGACACACATAGGTATGAAAGCAGATACACCCAAGATCTGTCAAGAAAGGGCATGATAAAATGGAGATTGATCCCAGTGCTGTATGCTGGGGATCTGTGTCCAGCTGACATCAGCCAGTGTCTGGTCTGCCATCAGGAGGCATCCCAGTTGCTTCACCCTACCACTGCAAGAGGCAACGCTAGGCAGCCTGGGATGCCGGGTGAGCCAGCACCACAATGGTAGGCCTGACGAGCTTCATCAGCAAGCTCTGGCTTCCCTGCTATGCCCAGTTCTCCAGCATCTATAGCATTGCCTTACACAGCTCACGCCACTGATCTCTCTAGCTTACCAGGGTTGAAACACTGGTCCATCCAGCCCATTATCAGTGGGTCTCCAAGACTTCAGACAGGTCTTTTGCAGCCCCAGTGGTTCCAGGCAGACCTGAAAAAGACCCCTGCCTGAAATTCTGAAGACTTGCTGCTTCTCAGTGTATACAATATTGAGATGTCATGGACTAGGGACCGGTCTTTGGTCCATAGATCTCAGTATTGGTATAAGGCAGCTTAGATGCTTGATGAACTGTATAGCTGAAGAATTGACATTTCATCCATCACAACCTGCTAATTGCCTATTTCAGGGATCATATGCTTCTTGTTGCTTGCAATAACAAGAAGTATATCTAATATCTAAGCAGCTCTGGAAGACAAAAGGCTTTTTATCAAAAGTGGCAGACAATTTGAAATAATTATGTGATTATACTGCTAAATTGACCATAGAAACCTTTATCTTATTTACAAAGAATGTTGTCAAGTTTGAAAATTGCCATATGTCCTCTAACAAAAACAGATTTGACAATAGCAGTTTTGTTTTGGCCACAAAAGGTGATAGAAAATTAAAAGAAAAACTCTGAGGAGAGAAAACAGTAGGAGGAAGAGGAAAGTGAGAATGGGGGAGTGCAAAGAAACTATCATACCTCTCAGCAGAGACAACAGCAAAATGACAGGTGAAGAGGAAATTCAGTAGGGAATAGGGATGATAAAAGATATTAAGTGCTTCCTGCTATTATACATCACATTGTGAGCAGTTCATTCCTTTGCACTCAGATCCTTGGCTAGGACACCTTATCTCTATGGTGCTTTATTAGCCAAAATGATAAGGCAGTTTCTAACTCAAATATTTCTTTGAGATGTTTTGTCTTCCAATGATTCCAAGAGTTGACAAGGGTAGAGGTAAAAGAAAATTGACTTTTTGAATATTTAATTGTCTTCAACTGGAATAAATATGGTACAAATTGATGGCAAGGAACCCCTGAGGAAATGCTGGACCAAAATCCTTTTTAGAATCCCTTTCAGACAAGCCCAAGGTCCTTCACGTGTGTTTGCACCAAATTATGGCAAAGAATGATGTGTGATATGCTGAAATTGGTCTTGAGTGACAACCTGCTAGTTCCCTCTGAATACCTGAAATACAGGGCTGATTCACACAAGCTTCTGTAGGTCAAGGCAACAATGCCCTTCTATGACAGTTCTATGAAAGATGCTAGTTTCCTAGACTAAAAATAATTTGGTGACCACAACAGAGTTTAGCAAAAGATGGGACACCCATGAAGGAGAAACACTGGAAATGGTTTCTCCAGGACTGGGGTCGGACTTGGTTGCTTTTCTGGTTGGGTTGTTGTTTACACCTCTCTTCTCTGTCTTACCAATGTCTCCAGTGTTCTGGTAAATGCTGAGAAGACTGCTCTAAGTAACCTCTGGCATTCATTTGTTCAAAAAGAAGATGACTGAGCAGTTATTGCCATTTCTTTGTACCAGTAACATTCACTTCATCCTGCAAATGGATATGCACCTATTACGATTGTAATGGATATGCACCTATTACAATCCAAGTCTGATTTATTCAATGTGCCACTACATTGAATGAATCTTATTCCCAAGGTTTGTGTGCACAGGATTGAAGCCTAACTCATGCAGTTCAAAGCTTCAACCTCAGAAGTTTTTACATGATGCCCAACTTTTTTTCTTCCTGCCCCCAAAGAAAAATGCAGGGAAATTCGAAAGTTTACTCACTATTTTGTGATATTCTGGTTGTTTTTGAGTGTGCTTTCCTAGAATGGGAGAGTTGGCAGGGCCAGGAAGGCCATCAAGTCCAGTCCCCTGCTCATGCAGGGTTCCAGGTTAAAGCAGCCCTAATAGATGGCTGGCTAGCGGCATCTTGAGGGCCTCCAGGTGGCGAGCCCATAACCTCCCAGAGTAATTGGTTCCTTCGTCTTATTGCTCTAGCAGGCAAGAAGTTCTTGGTTTTTAGCTGGAATCTGGCTTCTTGTAACCTGAGCCTGTTATTCTGTGTCCTCTATTCTGAGATGGTTGAGAAGAGATCCTGATCCACCTCTATGATGTAATATTTCACTTGAATAATGCTATCTCAGTGTTAATGTTAAGCATGTAAAAATGTTAATGCTCTCTTATGGCTTTTGGTTGTTTTTGTTTGCTAAGACCGCCAGAAACTGCAGACCAGCTCTGTCTGTCTGTGTGGTGAAGCTTAGTGGTGATTCTCTTTTTCAGTATATCACAGCTAATTAAGGAAAGGAAAGGAAAGGAAAGGAGATCCAAATGACTCAAGGGTTTTCCCCCCACTCTTGACAACTGACTCTGTGGCACTTTCAATAACCCAAGATGAAATTGCTCTCCTGGGTTTTGATTATACAACAACCCATCATAGGTAAAACAACCTCTAGGTCAGTCTGTTGGTTCTCGGAGTGGCTTTTCTGAAGACAGCAACAAGCCATTGTGAGTAAAGCGTGCATTCAGATGTTATAACAAGCCACTGTGAGTAATGACCCACAATGGACTGTTGTGTTGTCCAGACCCATGGCAGGCAGGCTTAGCTGAGGGAACTTCATTGTGGTTCTAGATATTGCAAGTCCTTTTGTATTTCTTTCTAACCATTGGCTAGGATTCAAAAGTTTACACTTCTAATTTTGGCAGGAGGAAGGATATTTCAGCAGTAACATTTCTGGGAATTTGATTGTTGCTTTTTATGTGGCCTTGTTTTGTACTGTTTACTGTCCTTGTTTCCTTTTGCCAAAAAAAAGCAGCAAATTAAGCCATAATTAATTACCAAAGAATATGAAAAAAATCACTCAAGAAAT